TTTTTTTTTCCTTTTAAAGGCCACAGAGTTCTTCACTTCTAGACAGTTGTTCATAAAATCTGTACAGGACAAGATTTACTGGTCTACCAGACACCAGTCTCAGTATGACACAGAGTCTGCAGTTCACTAAACTGGAATAGGTCATGTCTGAATGAGCAAAAAGGGCATGGGTTTCTCTTTTATAGTAACATAATCAAGTTACCTTATGATAATTAAGGTGGCATTTTAATTGCGTTAAAGTTAGCCATGCAGTTCAAAATGCATATCATCTGGTTGTGTTTGGGAGGAGCAACACTTAAGAGAACTAACACAGCTGAAGACCGTACTGTTTTTGCCTGTCAGCCAGTGGATTGTTCTCTGGCTAAGTTGCTGCAAGAGTGGGGCTGAGCAATTTCCTGTTAACAGCCTTGCGTATTACACAAGAGGTGGTCAACCTGCAGCCCATGTGCCATAATTGACACTGACAGCCTCTGTGTGTGGCATTCCACAGATAGGGGAGGTGACAGACAACATAATAGCAGACAGGGAAGGGAACAGAAAGCAGATTAGCCAGTTGGGTCAGTGAAGGGGAGGGAGTGGCATTCAGGGAGGTAGGGGGCTAATTTGTGGCACGCCTGTTGAAATGATTGGCCACCACTGCATTATACCTTCAATACAGTGACTAGAGGGAGAGGAAGCTGGGGAGCTGGCTATGCCTCCTATCTTTCAGTCAATCGTCTTTTACCACTGATGAACAAGGGCTGGTTTCTAACTGTGTTTCCTAAGCAAGCCAAGGACATGGAAGGTGTATGGGTTTTTTTGTTTGTTTGTTTTTAATCTTGCCATAATAAACTCTATGGGAAGCTCCTGAAGAAACTGAAGCCTTGCATGCAAAGAGCCTGTCCTGACAGACACATCTGAGATGCTGTTTCTGCACAGCAGTGCTGGTTCGCACACCAGCTTGTGAACTACAGAAGCAATCTCATGGTCTGTGCTGCTTTATTCTCTGTACAGCCCCACCTAGCATACTCTGCATACACCTAACAGATTAGGGCCCTCAGAAGATGCCACAAGAATGAACTGCAGCAGAGGAAATTTAGGATAGAAAATAGTAGTAACTTGCTCACTATGAGGATGGTTAAGTTTTTGAACAGGCTACCTAGGGAAGTTGTAGAAACTCCATCAAGAGCAGTTAGATAGGCACTGGACTAGGCTGGTTTAGTCAGGAATGATCCTGCCCTGAGCAACGGGCTGGATTAGATAACCCCATGGGCCATGTCCACGCGTGCATGGATGTTTAGTTCCCTGTGGACAACTAGTAGCAGCATGCGTTGTGCTGCCACTAGTTGTCCCTGGGAAACACCTGTGCCACGCGTGCTCTACTGCATGGCAGGTTACCCTGGGTGGGGTAGGAGAGTCTGGGGCCAGCACTGGGCTGGCTCCAGCAGTCTTACCGTGGAGCCTCCCAGGCTTGCAGCAGTGGTGATCCTGCCATGCAGAGCCTGGCCAGCGGCTGGAGTGCAGCTCTGGTTGGCCAGGCTCCAGTTTTGAGTGGTACATCTTCCCTTGCATGCACTGTTTTTTTTTTTTGGGGGGGGGGGGGGTTGACTCCTGGATATCCAGAGGTCAAAAACCACCCCTGTGCTGCTTCCTTGCAGCACAGAGAATCCCTGAACGTGTCTGTGGCTCCACATACTGCACAGCCGCACTCGTCTGGATGTGGCCATGAAGTCCCTTCCAGCCCTACCTTTCTATAATTACTTACTGTATAACAAAGGTCCACAGGTCGGATTCTAACCCTAAAGCATACAATTCATACAAAAGAACAAGACTTGCTGACCATGTGTACCAGCCATGTTTTCAAGTACACAGGTACATTCTGGTCTAAGACTAGAAAGCATAGATCTTCACTGATATGCTTGGGCCTTCATATTTGTACCAGCCTTAAGTGGGACTCAGCTATATGGCGCTTGACCAAAAAGATGCACAAAATGCAACTAAAGCAACCACTGAGCATACATCCCTTTTCACATCTGGGCCCTGTTAAAAAAAAAATGACTATTTACCATAAAATAATTTCTAGAGATTGTTTTTGAGCTGTTCTCTGGCACAAATTGCTGTGTTTGAATTGCTCTAATACAATCAGGAAACCACAACGCATACTGGCAGTAAAATCAGGTCATCTACACAGTAACTCTGTAAAAGTACCACATGTTTTCTTGTAGCAGGGGGAGATGTGCCTCAGTGCCTTTGCTCTTTTAAGTGGAAAAACTCCCACCTTGGGCTTATGCATTTGTTTATTGAAGCTTTTGGTTGAGAAGGGTGTTAATACTGCTGTGTCTTTCAGGGCATGCTTTGAGTCTTGTTTTTGGGGAGGTATACAGTCTAAGGTAGGGTAAGTTGAAGGTTTATACAGTTGAATTTTTTTCGTGGGTGAGGTTGTCTGAAGTCTGCTTTTGAACTAGTTGCATATAAATGGCAAAGCACCCAAAATACCACTTTATACATATAACTTGGCATGCTTACCTTTGAACAAAACTTGTATGAGAGCAGGGATAATTGCATGCAAAATAACGCACAAAATTAGAAGTACTGAAGATGGCTTTGGAGTCTTATGAGTCTACTATCTCTTTAAAGGCACAGATCTCATGGATTTCAAGGAGGTGCTACAGAAACCAAGATCAGTTGCCGATAAATGTAGGAAATGCTGTGATCTGTATGACAGCCCATTTGAAACAATCAGGCAAACTAAGAAGGTGTCAAATGCGTAGTATTGATTTTTTTATTTATTTTAAAGAAACAGTCAATTTTGGCATCCATCATCCCTTAAATGTAAGAGGACTATATTGTATAGATTCAAAAAGAATGGAGCTAAGTAGAAATAATATTGTAAGATACCTTCAGCATTAACTAAAACATTTCCAATACCTTATGCCCAATTGATTCAAATTGGCATGGATATTAAAAATAAATTGGGACCTGAATCAAAGACTGGGAGACGGTTGTGATAAATGACAAAGGCTTACATAGGAGGAAGAATCTAGGGCTATGCAAGTGCACTTACATTCTGTTCTTCCATTCTTCTTGGAGTGCATTATGTCAATTCTGTGAAATTCACACATGGTACTAAATTGGGAGGAGCTGCAAATGCTACTGAGGTCAGGGAAATGAATTCAAGGGACAGAAAGGGTGTGTACATAAGGGAGTGATTGAAGAATAAGCTAGCAAGTAAATTACAGGCTCAGTCACTATTCACACTAATTTCCACTTATTGACTAAGAATGGAAATGAATTAGACCAAACTGCAATAAGGCACCTGCAGTGTGAAATGAGTGTGTTTCTTCTCTCCACTTGAAGTCAGTATCTGGAGGTTTGTGCTAAAAATTAGCTGTGCTTTAAATTCATTTCCTAGCTTGTTCCACACTGACTTCCCTGGGTAGTCAGACTTCAGGGATATTACAAATATAGGCAGAGAACAGACAAGCAAAACAACTTTGAAAAATCCAAGCAAATTTTGTATATCTGAGAGAAAACATCTAGAATAAACACATTCATTAGCAGGGAGAAACTTGACAAGAACTGAAACTACACTATGGGTGATAGAAAATAAGTTATATATTATTGTGAAATACAATAAGGTATAGAAGGGCAGTATGCAGAGTCATACTGCAGGGCTGAAAAATCCCTTTATACTGCTCTAGTGAAAGGCCACTTGCAGTACTATGTTTATGTTTGTGCATGAAGTTACCAAACTTGACAGATAACCAGATACTGACTTCTCAAGAAATTTAGACAATTTTGGAATAGGGAGAGGAAGGAATTAATTGACAAGAAAACAGTGGCTAAGAGAAAACAATAACACTTCACACACTGAAGGCTTATAGGAAAAACTGATCACTATAACTAACCCTAGGCTGAAGAATGGCCAGGAATAGGATGCTTGCTAGTTTTGCTTGTGGAATTGTTTTGCAGAAGGAAGTGCTAGATTGCACATTATTTGGAAAATGCAATTAATAACTAGACAAAGCACTAACTATGTAAAGCAGTGCTGCAATGGCAGAGAGACCATCTAGATAGGTGTCTTCCAGCACATGTTGTGACTGCAGAACATGAATACTGCTGGCCAAGACGGCTACTGGAATACAACAGAGCAGTGAACGTTCAGGGCCTAAGCAGCAGACCTTTTGGGTCTGTCAAGGATGCTGTCTCCTAGGATGCACAGGTAGTGTGCTTTCCTTATTTAATTACTACAAAGATATGGCTTACTCTCCTCTCCCCAGCACTACCCTTGAGTGCTAGTTGCCAGTCAGCACAGGTAGAACCATATAGAGATCCCCAACCTTGGACTGGTCAGCACCGGATGTGGTACTAATCAGATCCCCCACTTATGGGTGACAAGTGCCTCCT